GGCTTCCTGTGTGCGCGCTCGTCCGCTGCTGTTTCCCGCCGGAGCTCGTTGGGCCTCCCGGGCCCACCCTGCCCATGGCCCAGACCCCCGACGGCATCTCCTGTGAGCTGCGAGGTAAGCGCTGGCTCTTCCCGCCTTCTTGGCCGGGAGGAAGTAGTGCAGCCCCAAAATCAGAGGCCCACCCAGCGCCCCGGAGGGCCCGGTCAGAGGTTCTCTCTGCTCCCCAGGAGGGCGGGCGCCCCAGATCCTCTCCCTTCCTTCCTCGCTGGCTGCAGATTAGCCCCAGGGCCCCAGCCTGGCACAGACTGCGGGCACCAGTGGCTTATGTGCAAGGACCGAAGTCATCCAGCAGGCTGCCCTTCCACAGGCGAGATCACCAGGTTCCTGTGGCCCAAAGAGGTGGAGCTGCTGCTGAAAACCTGGCTACCCGGGGAGGGTGCTGTGCAAAACCATGTCCTGGTATGGGGCAGGGGACAGAGCCGGGGAGGCAGCTGTGGCCCCACAGAAAGAGCCTCTTGTTCTGCCCAGGGTATCAGACTGTCTTTCCCCAGGCGCTGCTACGATGGAGAGCCTACCTGCTACACACCACCTGCCTCCCGCTGAGGGTGAGTCCCAGGGCCTGGCCACACCTCCCACCCTCCAGCAGCTACCTCGGCAAGGGGCTGCATCTGCGGTCCTTCTTGGCCTTGTGGGCCCTGACTTTGCACCAGCAGTCGGCTCCGGGCAGCCAACAGGAGTGGAGTCCAGGCAGGTCTGGCTCTGCTCCAGGCTGCCCAAAGGACTGGGCTTCCATGAAGGCGGGGTTTGGGGCTTGGTCCCAGCTGATCTAGGCGCTTCCTAGGTGGACTGCACATTCAGCTACCTGGAGGTCCAGGCCATGGCGCTGCAGGAGACACCCCCTCAGGTGAGACATCTACTACCCCACCTGGGCCTGCAGCCTGGTCTTCATGCTACCACCATCACCTGCGCCCATGTGTGGAGCCGAGGCCCAGTAGTCCCCCTTCCCTAGGTCACCTTTGAGCTGGAGTCCCTGCGTGAGTTGGTCCTGGAGTTTCCTGGTGTGGCTGCCCTGGAACAGCTGGCCCAGCATGTGGCTGCAGCCATCAAGAAGGTCTTCCCTCGCTCGACCCTTGGGTGAGGCCTGGCAAATTTGAGGGGCTGACAGGGGAGGAAGGAGGAGGGAGTGCATGAGAAGGGCTGCTTCCCATCCCAGAGGCTGGAAGTCCCTTGCCTCCTTCTGCTTAACCCCCTACCAGGAAGCTATTCCGGAGGCCCACACCTGCCTCCATGCTGGCTCGGCTGGAGAGAAGCAGCCCCTTGGAGTCCACTGGCCCCTGCAGCCCCTGTGGTAAGGGCAAAGGCAGGACCACAGGCCTTCCAGCCTGCCCCAACTCTGCCTCCCCAGACCCGCAAGATGGGGGGTGGCCCCACACTGAACAGAGCCATTCAGGTCACAGCCACCACCTAGCCTGTGGGTCTGGTCTTCCTCCATTGCTGACCTTTTGTCTCTCTCCTTCCCCCCATTGCACCCCTGTCCCCTCCCCAGGTGGCTTCTTGGAGACATATGAGGCTCTGTGTGACTACAATGGCTTCCCTTTCCGAGAGGAGATTCAGTGGGTGAGGGTAGGGCCCTTTTGGAGGGCTCTGGAGACATCTGGTCCCCCATGTGTGCTGAGCCCCTCCCTGCCCCTTGTGTCCCAAGCAAATTGTAAGCATCTCCTTCTTGCCCAGGACGTGGACACCATCTACCATCGCCAGGGCTGCCGCCATTTCAGCCTGGGAGACTTCAGCCACCTCGGCAGTCGGTGTGCAGCCTGCCAGGATGGGAGAGAAGGAAGATCCCGGGGCCCATATCCCTAGGCCTCATCTTCTCCATGGAGGGGCTGCTGGGCCTGGGACCTGGCTGGAGGGCCCTGAGCTCTGCCTCTCTTTCCACCCTCCCACCAGGGACCTGGCCTTGAGTGTGGCTGCCCTATCCTACAACCTGTGGTTCCGGTGCCTCTCCTGTGTTGACATGAAACTGGTGAGGGGGTGGGGGGTAAGGGCAGGGAGGGGCCAAGGGTGTGAGCCAGGGTGCAACCCGCTGAGGGCCAGGGTGCAGCCTGTGAGCCGCCACCCTCTGCTTTTCAGAGCCTTGAGGTCTCAGAACAGATTCTACACATGATGAGTCAGTCATCGCACCTGGAGGAGCTGGTGCTGGAGACCTGCGGCCTGAGGGGGTGAGGGGACAGGGCAGGGCTTGGAGAGAAGAGTCTGGGGGCTTGGGATTGGGGGCTAGTGGACTGGAAGGGGTTGGCAAGCCAGGGGCAGAATCTCATGCCTGGGGTCTGGTCCCCAGAGACTTTGTCCGACGACTGGCCCAGGCTCTGGCGGGACACTCGAGCTCTGGGCTGCGGGAGCTCAGCCTGGCAGGGAATCTGCTGGATGACCGAGGTATGGATGAGCCTGGGGACCGCAGGGGCGGGCAGCAGGAGGAGGTGAGACCCACATGGCTGGTCCCACCCCCTAGGCATGGCTGCACTCAGCAGACACCTCGAGCGTTGTCCAGGAGCCCTGAGGAGACTCAGCCTCGCCCAGACAGGGTTGACTCCGCGAGGTAGGCTGGATGAGGGAGGGGGTGAGGGGAGGGGGGTGGGGGTCTGCCCAACTGCTGAGCCACCCCACCCCACCACCAGGAATGAGGGCTCTGGGCCGGGCACTGGCCACCAATGCTGCCTTCGACTCCGCCCTGACCCACCTGGACCTTTCCGGGAATTCCGGGGCTCTGGGGTCCTCCGAGGACAGTGGGGTAAGTGACTGTCTTCAGGGTGGGATCCTGGGGTTGCTCGGAAGCCCTGGGAGGCCATCCCCGACTCCATCCCACCCCTGTCCTCCCGCCAGGGCCTCTATAGCTTCCTGAGCCGTCCTAACGTGCTGTCGTTCCTGAATCTCGCAGGCACCGACACCGCCCTGGACACTGTGAGGGGGTGCTCCGTGGGGGGATGGATGACCGACAGGGCGGACTGGAGGGCAGGACAGGGAGGGCTCGGTCCCCCAGCGGGTGCAGCCAACAGCCTCCCCCCGCAGCTCTTCGCAGCGCTGTCCCGAGGCTGCTGCACCAGCCTTACCCACCTTGACGCTTCGAGGAACGTCTTCTCCCGCACGTAAGGGGGACCTGTCCGGGCCGGGGGAGGCAGCTGGAAGCCGCCTCCTTGCGCCCCCAGGCCCACCTTCCCACTTCCCCCAGGAAGTCCCGCGCTGCGCCGGCCGCGCTGCAGCTCTTCCTCAGCCGCGCGCGGATGCTGCGGCACCTGGGCCTGGCGGGCTGCAAGCTGCCGCCGGACGCGCTCAGGTCAGTGTCTGACCCCGGCCACGCCCCGCGGGCGCTCCAACCCCGCCCTGGCCTTCGCCCCTCCCCGCTCCTGCTCCGGTCGCTCCCACAACCTCCCCCAGATCCTGGCCCTGCCTCCTTCGTTCGCACCCTGGAGCCCCCTGTCCCAGCTCCCGCCACCCCCTGTAACGTCCCCTCCCAGGGCTCTTTTGGATGGCCTCGCGCTCAACACGCACCTCCGCGACCTGCACCTGGACCTCAGCGCTTGCGAGGTGAGCGCCGGCCCCCAGAGAACACACACTGGGAGTGGCGCTGGAGGCGGGAGGGCAGGGCCGTGGGCCGCCTACCCCTCCCCACTCGCGGCCTGAGTGGGTCCCGTCTCCTACCTCCCACATCCAGCTGCGCTCGGCCGGCGCCCAGGTGATACAAGACTTAGTGTGTGACGCAGGCGCTGTGAGCTCCCTGGATCTGGCGGATAACGGTGAGGCTGCACGGGAGCCCATCCTCGCATCATCCTCTCGATTCCCAGTCCCCACCCTATCCTTGCAACTTCGCCTCGTGCGTGACCCGAGTCACCCCCAGGCTTCGGCTCGGACATGGTGACTCTGGTGCTGGCCATCGGGAGAAGCCGGTCCCTGAGACATGTGGCGCTTGGAAGGAACTTCAACGTCCGGTGCAAGTGAGCCCCCACCCCACTCCTGGGCCTCCCAGACAACACCCTATCACCCCTGTCCCCCACAACTGCGGCCCCTACCCACAGGGAGACCCTGGACGACGTCCTGCACCGGATTGTCCAGCTCATGCAGGACGACGACTGTGTGAGTTCACGGGACCTTGCAGGGTCCTCGGGCAATTAGACCCCTTTGGTCCTCCCTTCTCTTGTTCCCTCAGACCCTGTGACCTGCCCTCACTGACCCCTGACTCCAGCCATCAATGGCTTTCTCTTAACCCCAGCCTCTTCAGTCTCTGTCGGTGGCTGAGTCTCGGCTGAAGCTGGGCGCCAGCGTCCTACTCCGGGCCCTAGCCACCAATCCTAACCTGACCGCGCTGGATATCAGCGGCAACGCCATGGGGGACGCGGGCGCCAAGTTGCTGGCCAAGGCGCTCCGGGTCAACTCCAGGCTCCGGTGGGCGGGGTCAGAGGGGTGGGACCAGCGGGCAGGGGGCGCGGTGGAGAGGAGGGTACCGAGCTAAGGGGCGGGACTGAATGAGGCGGAGCAAATGGAGCAGGTAGACGAGGCGAACGGACGAGGCCGAGGGTTGGGTGGGGCGTTGTGGAGCTCTGTCCCTGACTGAAGCCAGGCCTGGCCCAGGTCTGTGGTCTGGGACCGGAACCACACATCTGCTCTGGGTCTGCTGGACGTGGCACAGGCGCTGGAGCAGAACCACAGCCTGAAGGCCATGCCTCTGCCACTGAACGACGTGGCCCAGGCGCAGCGTAGCCGCCCTGAACTGACAGCACGTGCAGTCCATCAGGTGGGCGTCCCCCTCTTCCCTTGTCCTTCTCTGCACCCTGGCTCTGTCCCTCGGCATTTCTTAATACCCTTTACCCCTAGATCCAAGCCTGTCTCTTGAGGAACAACCGCGCAGACCCTGCCTCTTCTGACCACACGACCTGCCTTCAGTCACTCGGTCTGGTCTCAGACCCCTCAGAGCAGGTCAGTGTCCCCTCCCCAACCACGAGAGGCAGGGCATGAGGAGACCTGTGGCATCCGGGAGCCTCCATGAGTCAGAGGGTCTGACTTTCCTGGAGCCAGAGTGCCTGAACCCTGCTGTCCCAAAGTCCCTCTCCTTGATCTGGAGACTGCTAAACACCCCTTAAATAGCTCTCCAATGACACCCTTGGTTGCGTAACGTTAAGCATGTAAACAGGGTGTTCTGTTAAAGAGGAATTTTTATGTCCTCCCTCAGTTTTCCCCCAATTGTAACCCCATCTCTGACCTCACATATTCAGAGCTGCCCTCTCCTCTCCATGGTGTGTCCAAACCCAGCTGCTCCTTCACTGTCTTCATCTTCCTCTACTACGTTATCTATTGGAGGTGTTTCCACCTCTCCATTCCCAAATACCTCTTCTTTCCTAACCTGCAGAGCCCAAAGGTCTTAATCCAGACATCCTGCAGAGCTTCATGCTCTGCACTTCTCCAAGTGATGTCATCGTCTTCCACAAACCCTGTTCTCTACCCTGGAGCCCAATTCCACTGGTGCCCACAGCCACCCAGTGCTGTGGACAGAGGTTGGGGCATCCTTCCAGGTCTCTCCTGGTCACACTGGAGCCCTCATAGCCCTCCTTCGTCCTGCCTCTAGACCAACCTTCAAACGTGCCACTCTTTACCCCCACACCAATTATTCCCTTGCTCCTCCTGGTCCCTCCTCCAGGGCTACTCACTCTCTTTTCCACCCCTCTCCCAGTCTGTCCTCTGTGTGGACAGACTGAGCTTCTAAAACACAGACATGATTTACAACTGCTTTCCTTCCTATTCTGGGCACTTAGGAAGTATATATAAAGTCCTTAAAATGAACCAAAGCAACAGATAGTTCCTTCCCTCCTTGAACAGATAGGGTTCCAAATTGGCTGGTCTAAGAGTGCCAGCTTCAGGACTTCCCTCTGTTAAAGAGCCTGGGAGGAAGGCAGGCAGGATCTGGGAGACTGGGAGGGAGCTAGGCTGAGACTGATCCCCATTCCCCCCCAGGAAGTGAATGAATTGTGTCAGTCGGTGCAGGAGCATGTGGAGCTGCTGGGCTGTGGGGCTGGGCCCCAGGGTGAAGCCGCTGTGCGCCAGGCTGAGGATGCCATCCAAAATGCCAACTTCTCTCTCAGCGTGAGCACTCCGCCTCCTGCTACAAGGACCCTTCCCCTCTTAGTCAGCTGTCAGCTTGCAACTGCTTTTCCTCTTTGGCCCTCAGATTCTCCCCATTCTATATGAAGCTGGAAGCTCCCCAAGCCATCACTGGCAGCTTGGGCAGAAGCTGGAGGGCCTTCTGGGACAGGTGGGCGAGGTCTGCCGCCAGGACATCCAGGTGAGAGGGTACTCCTGCCCCAGCCCCACCTCCGTTCGCAGGTTTGACCCCCATCCTTTAGTTTTAACTATGATATCCCCTGACTCAATATTCTGTTGGAGTTGGAGCCTCAAGCCAGCAGCCTGGTGTCTGGACATATCCTCACCATGCTCTGACCTTTGTCCAGGACTTCACTCAGGCCACACTGGACACAGCAAGGAGCCTCTGCCCACAGATGCTGCAGGGATCCAGCTGGAGGGAGCAGCTAGAGGGGGTCCTGGCAGGCTCGAGGGGCCTCCCAGAGCTGCTCCCAGAGCAGCTGCTGCAAGATGCCTTCACTAGGCTCAGGTAGGCTGGATGGGGCTGGGCTGGGCAAGGCTAAGCAAAGCCAGCCCATTAACCCCTGTCCTCTCCTGCCCTTAGGGATATGCGGCTATCAATCACAGGGACCTTGGCAGAGAGCATTGTCGCTCAGGCTTTGGCAGGCCTGAGTGCAGCCCGGGATCAGCTGGTGAGGGGGAGATGTGCACACACTTTCGTGCAAACACACACATGCAGTGACTTGGCCATCTCCCTTGCAGGGGCTCTGTAATGTCTTCTGGGGTCATGTAGCGTAGGGCTATTTCAGGGTCCCCTTAGCACCAATGGGATCATGGCTGAGGCCCTACCTGCCATCTTTGGCTGCTTGGTATTGCAGGTGGAGAGTCTGGCTCATCAGGCCACAGTGACAATACCCTCTGCCCTACCGGCACCAGACGGAGGTGAGCCCGGCCTCCTTGAGCCTGGGGAATTGGGAGGTCTTTTCTTCCCCGAGGAGAAGGAAGAGGAGGAGGAGAAGGTAAGTAGTTTTAGAACACGGGGCATAGCACTCCCAATCTTCCCATCTTGCTGTGGAGTGTGGAAGGTGAAAGGCAGTTCTTTTGGGGTGGTGCTCTCCTACCCCAGACTGAGTTTGTGCCCTCCCCACCAGGATGACAGTCCTCCACAGAAATGGCCTGAGCTCAGCCACGGTCTTCACCTGGTTCCCTTCATTCAAAGTAAGTCAGGGCCTTGGGGAAGGGAGTTTACATGGGTGGGCTGAAGCTCCATTAGACTGGGGACCCGGGTACCTGGATGAATTCATTCAGCCTTGTTTGGGTACCCCCCAGCCCTTGACTGGGCCAGGCCAGGACCCCCGTGCAACTTGCAAAGCTGGAGTCTGCTGTGGTCAGCCCGGGGCGGGACCTGGGCAGACTAGGGACTGGACACCGGCTCGACTCGCCTCCCCCATGCCCCTTTCCCTAACCCCGGGACGCGCATGCTTGGCGGCGGCGCGGAACCG